ACGGAAGAGTGTGTTGGTAGTCAAATATGTGAAGTGCTCAATAAGATGGAAAATGAGAAAGTATCTACTATGGTGACTGATATCCACTAGGAACCTCTGAGGGTGAGGGAAGGTGAGACCAGAGGGAGATAGTTCAGGTTGCCTTTGGCATCTGTGAGAGGTTGGGTTGGGAAAGGAGGTATCAGGTGTCACACAGGAAAGCTAAGTGATAGAAGAAACCGGATGAGGGGGATTGAAGGGCTACAGAAGACCAAGACAGGTTGGCAAGTATGGTGGGGTTTTTTGTGTTGCTTTGTTTTGTTTGCCTTTTGAGTTAAGTTTCGTACCGGGGTGAGACAGCACTGTTTGAGGGTATCAAAAGCCAGAATCAGGTACTTGATGAGCCAGAGCATATGGCATCCTCTACTGGCTGCTGCCCGCAAACGCAGCTGAATACCAAGTTGTGTACTCTGAGTCTAGCAAACCCTGAACTGTGCCCCCTCTGCTGACCACTGGAGAGATTGCAAAAGGCATTTTATTGTCACCCTGAGCATCCTGGTATTAAGTCATCTGTGTATTTGAAGTGCCGTGTTACCGATATGAAGTATAGTACATAGTAGTCCAATTAGTGAATGTGTGAACGTTGGGTTGTTTGTTTTTTATTGTTAACTTGTATTATTAGCTTAGTTATGAATTTTCCTTAGGAGAAAGAACAAGGCCATTGGCTTTCCAGGAATCTGAAACTGGCAGTAGGCCGCCCCTAGTGAGATGGACCATGGTTACACCTAAAACTGTTTTAATGATTTCATGAAATTCAGGACACTGGAAAAGATCTATGAAAGAGCAAAAACAGCTTAAAAATGTACTTACGTAGAAATCCTAAAGAAGCAGTAGGAAGACAGCACAGTAAAAATGAAATGGTAATGCTGAAACATTTTATCAAAACAAGATCAGAAAGGATGGCTGGTTTGGAGTCCCAGCCGCTACCACCATTTCATGAAAATGACATTGTACACATTTCCAATGGAAAACAATGCACAGGGACATCAATGGTAATAGCTTTGAGGTTGCATGAAGATGTCACCCCAGACAAATATTATGGAAAATACACAACACTTTAGGCAAGTTCCACAAAGATAGCAGGTAAAGGGTATTGTATCTAAGAAAGTCTCAGAAAAGTAACAACCACTGCAGGCTGTTAAAGGCTAGCAATAGAGCTAATGTATTTATTCCTGCCTGACGACAGTAATGCTGCTATCTTAAGAGAGAATTGCAGAACTATAAACAGCACATAGAACTAGGAGACTAACTATATATCACTACTTCATTTAGCACAGTGGGGGCCAAACTTTTTGGCAGGAACTCTACAACTTAAGCCCCATCCCCTCCTGAGTGCCAATTCGAGCCCCTTCTCTTGTCTCATTTGTTGCTCTTCTCTGTCCTTCCTGCCCTGTCACTGTTCTCCCTTCCAGGTCTAGTACAAGCCACACAAAGTGGCTGAGCATGCCACTTGTGGCAAGTGTGCTGAAGGGTGGCCACCCCTAACTTAGTTTGTATTTTGGTTGCAAGTGTTAACATAATAAAAAAAAATAGTAATTGTTTATACTTGGCTATAAGAGGTGCAAATATCTATTTGAAATATTATGTGTCTCATTCCTTATATTATAGATCAGACTCCTATTTTTTTTATAGTTTCTCCTCTAAAATTGGTCTTAGTACTTTTAATCTACATTAAGAACATGAATCAATGCATTTATTTCTATATATTTATACTAAGTAAATTTTAGTAGCAGTCTTTTTTACACTTTCACTTTTCAAATGAAAAGGAAAGGCTTATTTTTTATCCCCGCATTTAAATCACTACTGTCTTAGTTGTTAATCATAATCAATGGATTCATCCATTTATTCAATTTTGAATAGACATAATCTACCATGTTTGCTGGAACAATTGTTTTGAGCACCAGGGAACAAAGAATGTGTGGCCTTGTTTTCCTGTAATAGTTTAAATAAATAACCAGTGCTGGGTACAAAGACATAAAGGACACTGTTCCATGTGAGAATTAGTGTGCCCACAGCATTATCAAGTAGCAGTAGAGGGTAACCCAACATGATCCAATGTCCCACAAAATGGAATGTATACATTATTGTGCATCATAAAAAGACACCAGGCTGGGTGTCTTGGGCTGACTAAAGATGCAGTGTAATGCAAAATACATGTTCTGTTTCACTGCATAAACTATTCCTTACCTCCTGCCCCCCATAACTTTCCAGTGATTCTGATATAAATTTGCCTGTTCTTCTATTCTTTGCATAAGAAAAAAGAAAAGGGATATTTAACTGGTTCTTGTTTAATTTAATGCCTCTGCCCCAAACACTAAATAAGTGGTTAGGAAGAATGATAAAATAAGGGTCCATTTTATGAAAAAGAACACAACAGAATTCTTAATTTCTAAGTGCTGAATAATAAAAAAAAATCCTACATTTTCTAGCTAAGGAAATATAATTAATACTAAAGTCATCCCAACAATAGAGTTGATTTAATTCAGCATGAAGATAATTGGTAAAGAGATGACTGAATTCCAAATGGCTGTTCAAGATATTTTGTTCATAATAAGATTGGTAAAAAATTCCTTGTCAAACTGGTTTCCCCACCCCCGCCTCCCCCCGAGGAAAATTGGCTTCTTCACTAAATGAATGCCATTTTTGGGGGTGTGAGAAGTGGCTGTTTGCCATGAAAAGTGTGTTTTCAACAACAAAAATTCTACTATGTGGAAAACATATTGCAGCCCTGCCTACAGAGGGAAATAGGAACTCAAAAAACCTGAACTACATTCCTCCCAAGGTAACATAATAGCAGTTCAAAATGAAATATTAATGCTTTAAACAAAATATTCTGGTTCTAATTTCTCTCTTTCCC